TGCAATAAAGATGGACCTGTGTTTGTGAATATGTTATCAGACTCTTCATTTAAAAACCTCATCTTCAGATTAATTAGCAGTAGTCCAACCACCACGTGCTCCTCGTCATGACTATGTGCCATGGCCAGGATTTGAGTGCAAGCTCTGATACCAACTGATGCAAGGAAACTTGTAATCAAGATTGTTAGGATCGCGATCTGGATTGTAGGATCGTACAATCCTACGATCCAATAAATACCTCTCAATCTGACTTGTATTTTGGATTAGGCCCATGTCAGGATCGTGGTAGGATTGTAACAAGATCGCTATTCCATGCGATCCTATTTAATTGGGTTTTTTTGGCTGCCTTCAAGCCAAACAGACCTTTATCGGGATAAAAGAAGGATAAAAGAGGAACCTCTGAGCTACGATTAGGGCAAGACAAATTGGGGACAGAGAAATCGAACATCAAACTTCAGAATGTGTAACAACCAACCAGGTATGCTCTTCGAATCTTCCTTCTCTTTCTTTTTTTTTTGTGGTTTTTTCTTTCTTCTTCGTTGTTGGTCTTCTTCTTCGCCGCTCTTCTTTTTTTTTGCTTGCTCTTCTTCTTCTTCTTCGATTCTTCTCTGTAGTTCGAATCACTATTCTTCTTCTTCTTCTTCTTCACCTGACTTCTTCAATGTAGTTCGACTTCTTTTTCTTCCCTTGTTGTTCTATTTCTATTTGTATATCATATATTATATAATATATAATCTCTGTTATTAGAATCCTACAATTCGCAATTCGACTTGCGATTCGTGATTCAATTCACGATTCGATTTGAATTTTTTGCAAAATTGATACGAATCTATAGGTGAATCTATTTTGGAAGTAAATCTCTAATGAATCACACGATTCACAATCGATTCACGATTCGATTTACTTTTTATGATTCATGCAATTTTTTAAATTATTGTGTCCAACATATTTTCGATTCTTTCTTTCTCCATCTTTTTAGTAAAAATGACATAATACAACTTCTAATAGCGTTTAATACCAAAATAACCAACATATATGCATGATTTGTTATTATTTTAGTGATCATGGAGTTTTTAATAGGATCCAATCCGATTTAATCAGACCCAACATATTTTTAACATTTCTTCACTTTTTTTTTATTCTTTTTAAAAAATCATAACATATCTTTTAAAGATGTTTAAGATTAAAGTTACATTATGAATTATCCATTACTATTTTATTAAATTGAATATTACATGTGTAAAGTCAGTTATACCTTTGAAAATGTTTTAGGCTTTAAAATAAAAGATTCTAAATAATTTTTTCTTATTATTTGCTCACTATTACTTAGAAAAATATGTATGCTTATTGTCTAATTATTAATACCGTTGTTGGTTATTGTTACTTTGGATGTTGATAATTTGTCTATTTTGTTATTATCTTTATTAAGAATGATTGATAAGAAATATCTAAAAAGAAAAAAAAAAGTAAGATGGTGATCTACATAGGAACCTTTGTTGAATTCTTACCTATTAAATTATGTGATTATCACTCAAAATAATATTTTCATTGATTTAAGTGTAAATATTTCATATTCATAAGATATATTTAACATCTAAATATATAAATATATGTTTTTAAGTAAGCGACTAAATCTTTACGATTCACGATTCGATTCGATTCGATTCGATTCGCGATTTGGTACAAGACCATTTCGATTCACGATACGAATCTCGATTTGACAACTATGTATAATATATATATATATATATATTTGCGTGTGAATGAAAACCAAAACTTCGATTGAAACTCTTCTCTCTTTTTTTCCCTTTCTGTTTCTTCATTTTTTCTACTTTTTTCTTCTTCATTTTTCTTGATTCTTCTTTGCTGCTGCTGCTGCTACTGCTACTGCTACTGCTACTGCTGTTCTTCTTTGGTTCTTTTTTCCTGAACTTTGTTGGAAAAAAATTCTTTTTATACCAATTTTCCCTCTTTTGCCTAAACTTACTTGTCACAATTTGCAGCACACAACTAACGCCACAACACAATGTTAGCGTTTGGTTCAGGAAGAGGGAGGAAGAGAAAAAATGCTGCTGGCCACAAATCTAATCCCGGTTGGGAACATGGTATTGAAGTAGATGCGGTTTCCAAAAAGGTAAAATGCAAGTATTGTAATGTTACTCGTTCTGGAGGAATATTTAGATTAAAACACCATTTGACATGCACTCGTCAAAATGTTGAACCATCTCCCCAAGTTCCTGAAGATGTTAGAGAAAAATTTATGAGTCTTTTAAGAACTCAAACATTAGAGTCTCAAAATAAGAAAAGGAGGATGCTTGATATTGGTGATGATGATTCTGAAGAAGAAAAAGTGGAATCATTGCATGCTGGCCATCAAAACAAATAAAAACATTATGGGGGGTATAGATAAATTTGTGGTGAAAAAGTCTTGGTATCAAAATCAAAAAACTATCAATCAAATGTTTAAGAAAGAAGAGAGAGATGATGTTTGTCAAACAATTGTCTGGTTTTTTTTACACTAGTGCAATTCCTTTTAATTGTGTCAACAACCCTATATTTCTACTAATGGTTAAGAAAATTGGAGATTATGGAAAAGGCGTTTCGCAACCATCTTACCATTAAATTAGGGTGACTTTTTTTTAAAAAAAAGAAGTGCATGAGACATTGCAAGTACACGGGTTCAAAGAACATTAGAAAAAGATCGGGTGTACAATTATGTCCGATGGATGGTCGGATAGAAAGAGAACGTCAGTTTGTAATTTTTTTGTCAATAGCCCTAATAGAACTATCTTTCTATCATCATTTGATACATTTGACATTTCAAAAACCAGTGAAAAGGTTTTTGAGATGTTGATGAGGTTGTTGAGAAGGTTGGAGTGGAACACGTCGTACAAGTGATGACAGATAATGCTTCTAATTATAAGTTGGTGAGAGAAATGTTAATGGATAAGAAGGATTATCTGTGGCCAACTTATAATTAGAAGCATTGTCTGTCAACTTATTAACATTTCTCCTGCTAACTTGTAATTAGAAGCATTGTTTGTCACCACTTGCACGACATGTTCCCCTCCAACCTTCTCAACAACCTCATCCAACATTTCAAAAACCTTTTCACCAGTTTTTGAAATGTTAGATGTATCCAATGATGATAGAAAGATAGTTCCATTAGGGCTATTGACAAGAAAATTACAAATTGACCTTCTCTTTCTATCCAATCATCCATTGGACATAATTGCACACACGGTCTTTTTCCATTGTTCCTTAAACTCGTCTAGTACTTGCAATGTCTCATGCACTTCTTTTTTTCAAAAAAGTCACCCTAATTTAATGGTAAGATGGTGGCACAGGGCCTTTTCGATTAGCTCTAATTTTCTTAACCATAAGTGGAAATATAGGGTTGTTGACACAATGAAAAGGAATTACATTACACTAGTGTAAAAAAATTGGGCAATTATTTGACAAACATCATCTCTCTCTTCTTTCTTAAACATTTGATTGATAGTTTTTTGATTTTGGTGCTGAGATTTCTTCACCACAAATTTATCCATAGGCCCATAATGTTTTTATTTGTTTTGATGGCTATGATGCAATGGTTCCACTTTTTCTTCTTTAGAATCATCATCACCAATATCAAGCATCCTCCTTCTCTTATTTTGAGACTCTAATGTTTGAGTTCTTAAAAGACTCATAAATTTTTCTCTAACATCTTCAAGAACTTGGGGACATGGTTCAACATTTTGATGAGTGCATGCCAAATGGTGTTTTAATCTAAATATTCTTCCAGAACGAGTAACGTTACAATACTTGCATTTTACCTTTTTAGAAACAGCATCTACTTTAATGCCATGTTCCCAATCGGGATCAGATCTGTGGCCGGCAACATTTTTTCTCTTCCTCCCGCTTCTTGAACCAGAGGCTGACATTGTGTTGTGATGTTAGCTGTGTGTTGCAAATTGTGACAAATAAGTTTAGGCAAAAGAGGGGAAAATTGGTATAAATACGATTTTTTTTTTTTTCCCAGCAAAGTTCAGGAAAAAAGAACTAAAGAAGAATAGTAGCAGCAAAGAAGAACCAAGAAAATGAAGAAAAAAAAAGTAGGAAAAATGAAGAAACATAAAGAAGAAGAAAAAAAAAAGAAAGCAAGAATGTTTCAATTGAAGTTTTGGTTTTCATTCACACAAAAAATATATATATATACATATGTTATATATAGTATATAATATACAAACAGAAACAGAATAACAAGGGAAGAAAAAGAAGTCGAACTACATCGAAGAAGAAGTCAAGTGAAGAAAAAATGGTGAAGAAGAGCAAGAATCGAACACATAGAAGAAGAAGAATGGTGATTCGAACTACAGAGAAGATCAAAGAAGAAGAAGAAGAGCAAGCGAAGAAAAAGAAGAGCTGCAAAGAAGAAAGAAAAAAAGCCAAAAAAAAAAAAAAAAAAAAAAGAGACATAAAAAAAAAAAAAAGAGAGAAGAAAGATTCGAAGAGCATACCTGGTTGGTTGTTACACAAAATCTGAAGTTTGATGTCCAATTTCTCTTTCCCCAATTTGTCTTGCCCCAATTGCAGCTCAGAGGTTCCTTTTTTTTTCCTTCTTTTATCCCGATAAAGGTCTGGTTGACTTGAAGGTAGCCAAAAAAACCCAATTAAATAGGATCACATGGAATCGCGATCCTGTTACGATCCTGATGTGGGCTTGATCCAAAATACGAGTAGGATCGAATGGTATTTATTGGATCGTGGGATTGTACAATCCTACGATCCAGATCACGATCTTAACAACCTTGACACAAACATGCTTCCTAGCCGTAAATAAAGGCATCAACAATCGTTGATTCGATATCTAAAGTTGGAGAAAGAGTAAATAACTCAAATTTTTGTTAATCATCAAAAGTTGTTGAGACCTAAGGCTTACATTGTTGTTTATAATAAACTAAACCTAATTCTGGTATAATAAAAAAAGCATAAAATAGGAAAACTAAATCAACACAATTTTGAAAACTTATTAATTTTAGGCTATTTCATATTGAACCAAACATACCAAATCAAAATACTAATTCCAAAAAATAATAAAATTTTAAAATTAAAGATTTCTTAAAAATCTCAATTGCATCATTAGAGCTACTATATCTTCTACAAATAATGAAATGTTGCAATATCAGTATTTCACCTCCTTTTTAAATTCATTCTTTATAAGATATGAAGGGTTAGATTTTGGATAAAAGAATTTTTATGATTATGTTCCCCATAACTTCTTGTCATATTTGATATCTGATTATCATTTAGCAGACTTAGGATTCGATTTTATTTTATGTTTATTCATTGCAGTATTAGACAGTGTGAACGGATTCGTTGCTTGAAAGAACGGAAACTTTTTAAAGGGACCACAAAAGCGACCAGGAAACTTAGAGAATTGAACAATGTCCTTGATGATAAGGATCATTTTCATATTCTGTGGTGGAAGGAGGTGCACTAGATGACTGAATCTTGTTGAATTTTCCATGAGCTGATAATTGGAATTCTAGACTATGACTGACATTCTTTTTGTATACTCGTATATATATTGATTTTTCTTGCTGCAGAGGATGCAGTTGTGCAGAAAGCCTTCTTCTATGCAACTAATTAAAAGGCTCATGTACACTAATTTACTAGGGTTGGATGTTAACTTGAAAAATGGAAGGTGAGCTCGTAATCATGTTAAGGTTAGCAGTGAACTCTGTTTTGATTTCCTTCGAAAGAGGTGTTTTCTGTGTTTTTTTATTTTTATTTTTATTTTTTTATTTAAATTTTGTATTTGCATCATTTTACTTTAAAAATAATGGAGAAAATAGTCTTAAATGGTTTGTATAATCTCTACAAATATTATTCACTATATGTGCTCTTTAGGTACACTACTTGTATTTGATCTGGTGCAAATGTATAAAATGCAATGCCTCTTGTCCCTCATGGATTTAAATCATTTAATGACTGGGAACTTTGTAGTAGAGGTGGCCATATAGGGGGATGCATCTAATTCATCACAATAATCAATTTCTAAAACCTTACAATAGAGTTACATAACTAAATCATCATGATATTAAATTTTCCTTTGTGTATGGTTTTTATTTATATGTCCATGTAACTTGGTGTCTTTGACATTAACACTTTTGCTCATTTTGAAATAGTCTTGATATTGTAATTCTTCAAAAAAAAAAAAAAAATTCAATAGTTTGACAGGATATTAATTACGAGTATTTGGGGGGCTAAATTGTGTTGTAATAATAAGTATGGACATAGACATGTAACATAGCATAGACATGACACAAACACGCTAATGCCGAGATTTAAAACAATACACGTGAGGGTCACACAAAATGTAGTTTTAAATATTTAATGTATCATAACCAAACCAAACCAAACCAAACCAAATTAAATAGCCTTAAGTCCCATCAAATGGGGTCGGCTACATGAATCCTTCTTCTCCGCTCGACTCTTTCAGTGGCCATTTGGTTAATCAAATTCAGTAAAT